CTTCTTCTATACATCCACAAACTATCCCTTTAATGCTGTGTTCTAAGAGTTTTGCCAAAGTCCAACAAAGCTCACTTGGCTTTAATAGTTAGAAGAAACCTCCTCCTCCTCCCTCTCCTTTTCTTCTTCAAGGACATTTGTCTTTTTCCAGTTTTGCAATATTTTCCATCCTCCCATGGTCTATAAAAACTCTTAGACTTAGATTCAAGAGAGAGAGAGAGAGAGAGAGAGACCTGATATTAGCTATGTGACCTGGAGCAAGTAATTTAAAATCTTAGAACTTGTTTCCTTTTTAAAATGGGAGAAAAGTTGATAGTACCAACCTCACAGCAATGGATTATTTTGTTTATTTATTTGTGATCTTATCCCTGTAGGGAGCAGAGGAAACTTTCCCGTCTACATCAACTTCTCTCCCCCATGGAGAAAAAACTTTGGATCACTAGAGAGTCTCCCTTGAACCTATACCATCCACCTTGCTCAGTGCCAGCAAAGGCACAGGCCCATGTTACAAATGGTTCCCTGCTGCTCCATCTCTTCCCACCTGTACTTCTTGCTGCATTGCTGTCATCAAGGTTTCATTTCTGTCTTTTCTCGCCCTTTTTACAAACCACGTGGTGCTAACTTCCCAATGCACATGGGTCTCAGAATAGCCCAGTGTGTCTGTCCCTCCTTTTATGGACCACACAACCCCTATATGCAGAAGAAGCTTTGGGAGTCTTCAGTGAATGAAAGTGGAGAAACTTACCAGCATGTCTACTATACTTGGATTGTGTTTCCCATGACTGGATATATCTACTGTTATTTTTCCAGTGTCATTGCTATTACTTTCTATGTTTTCTACCTTAAAGCCTTCTCAGATGTGCAAGAGTGTATAAATATATATTTAGTAGCCCTTGTTAGGTACATGCTGTCCCTCATTAGGATACCCTTTTATTTCAAGCCATAGTTCAGAAATTCAAAGCCATCTTCTTAACCTGTTTAGCCACTTCCCAGATTTCCCTCTCTTCTGAAGTTCTTGCCTTTAGTTTTCAGTAGTGATAAAAAAAAAAACACTTGTACCCCCTAAAATCTTCAGTTTCTTACCCAGAACCTCATTAATTCTAAATGTGCTTTCTAGATTCCTTCTGGTGGTGGTGTCATTTATTCCTCATTTGAATCACCAGGAGTGAGTAGTGATAAGGTTTGGTAAGTCTTGAAAGGCTCAATCATTTCCCAATTAAGTGCTCTAAGAAAAGGGTAAACCTCAATTTTTAATGTCAGGTAGACATATTTCTTATGTCCAGAAAGTTTCGGTGCAGCTTTAAGCTGTAACAGCCCTCTGTCATTAGCTGCTTTTGTACAGACCTTTCAAGAGTCACCCTATTTGTCTCTTCTTCAGATGCTCACTGGCTAGTGCAGCCTGTGAATCCACGCTCACACTACTTCAACACAATAAGCATTTATTAAATGCCTACTCTGTGCTAGGCTTTAAGGATACAAAGACAAAAAGGAAGTGACTTAAAGAAGTTACATTTTATTGCAGGAGACTGTGTATATATATATATATGTATGTAGTGTGTCTTAGTGTTACACACACACACACACACACCCAGCAAATACAAGACAACTTCTAAGAGGGGTCACTAGCAGCTGAAGAGATCTAGAAAAGCCTCATGCAGGAAGTAGTTCTTGAAATGAGATTTGAAGAAAGCTAGCACTTCTAAGGAAGTAGAGGGGTGAAGAGTGCATCTAGCACAGAGTTGGGAGATTGATGCTGTGTATGTACCACAAAGTGTATAAAGGAGAAAAACGACTATTAAGTCTCAAAAGTTAGTCTGGAACCAGACAGTAAACAGGCCTTAAAGGCCAAACAGAAAGGTTGTTTGTAATTCCAGAGGCAATAGGGAATCACTGGAGATTGTGGAGGAGTGACTTAGTCAGAACTGTATTTTAGGAATTTCACTTTGTGAGCTGTGTATGGGAAGACTGTACTGGAGGGGGGGAATTTAAGGTAGGGAGAATGTTAAGACTAGTGCAATAGTCTAGGTGAGAGGTGATGATTTGAATCAGGGCAGTTGTGGTGTGAGTAGAGAAAAGAAGAAAAGCATCCAAGAGATGCTGTGGAGGCAGGGACTTATTATCCCTGGGGAAAGCTCCATAACTGTTAACTCCATGTTCACTAGCCTTTCCATTCCTCGACAGTATCACCTTCTACATCAACCATGGGATCCAGATCAGGATTCCCTCCTAAAACCCTGAAGCCCTTCCATTTTTTTCAAAACTTCTCATTTTCCTTAATAATCTAGGAATTAGAAAGGCTTTTCTTCATCTAACTTTACCCTCTCTTCTTGGAGGCCAAATTTGCATTTGCACATACCTGTTATAGCAAAAAGGGGCACTTTTTGGGTATGGGGTACATTATGTATGTACAAGTCGCTGCAAAATTTCATTTGCCCCCCTAAATTCTGGAAGCAAGAACCTTAATCTTTGTTCTTTGTAGTTCTTATGGCCAGTTCCTGTGGCCAGCCATGCCTGTTTGCCCAGCTAGGAGCTCAGTTGTGCCTGAGTGTCCTGTTTGGTAATATCCACTGTTGCTCCAAAGTTTCCAGAACACCACTGCACTTTTATCTCTTCAGGCTGACATCTCTTCGGGGACCTTCTTGTGGTGCTGAATCAACAGATGGAAAAGAAATCACTTAACTGACTGGCCAGTAGTTAAGCTACCCAGTGATATTGATGGAGAGGGGAATAATCTTCCCCTTCATTTTTGTGTTCTGTGTTTCCATTATTCCATTATTAGTAGTATAAAATTCCTGCTTAAGACCCTCGAGAGAAAATAACTGTGTAGCCAAGGACATGAAGACAATTATGGATATTTTAATTTTTCCTCTCCCTTCCCCTTAAACTCTTAGGGCTCCCTGCTGAAGGTGGATGTCCAAGGTGAAATCAGACTCAAGAGCTTTCTTCCAAGCTGCTCTGGTGAGAAGTATGGAGGCTAGGTTTTCTGGGACTTAAAAGGGGATGTGGAGTAAAGCATGTTGGAGGAACCAGATACTTGAGATTTACGGGGGATAAGTCTGGGTTTTATGATGTAGTCATTACTAACATGCCTTTCTTTGACAGAAATGAGAATTGGCTTGACCGAGGAATTCTGCGTGGGCAAATCAGAATTGAGAGGTGAAGCACTAAGGATCTTCCCCACCCCATATACACTTGGAACAGTAATACAGATATAACAGGGAGGTGTTCAACTTTCTCCATTAGCATTTGTTCAGAGTAGGGATTTTGACTTAATTGAAGATAGACCCCCCCCACCGCCATCCCATCCCCACCCCCAAGTATGGAAGGCACAGGCATAGTAGAGGACTCTTCTTTCAGTGTAAGGTATTGGTTAAGCATGGTGTTTATTATCAAAGATTGGGGGGGGGGGGCGTCCTCTTTTCTTTCAGGGTATGGGCCAGGGGTACGAGTGGACGAAGTTTCATTTCATGGTTCTGTTCGACTGGATGAGTTTGAATCCCATCGAATCCTTAGGCTGCAGCCATCTCAAGGCGAGGTCAGATTGAGGTGGACCAGTGCTCCACAATAAGGAAGTGTGGGGAGATTTGAGGGGAGATGAGAAGGGCCCAGGCTGACATGTGTTTCCGTGTTTACAGTTGACCATAATGCGGTATCAACTCTCCGATGATCTTCCTTCCCCACTCCCCTTCCGGCTCTTTCCCTCTGTGCAGTGGGACCATGGTTCAGGCAGGTAAGATACTGATGCTGTTTCAGAACTACATAGCTTTCTCCCCATTCAAGATCCAAAGCTCACCCTGAATACAAAGAGATAAGGGGAAAGGATGACACTTCTGTCTTTATTCCTTACCCAAGGCTACAGGTTTATCTGAAGCTCAGATGTGACCTACCCCCCAAAAGGTGAGTACTATAAATAGCAAAATAGTGCTAGCTTTGAGGTAGTGGACAGGCTGCAACCTCAAAATTGTCCTTTCCCCTCATATCCTTCCAGTTGCTTTCTTTCAGTTAAATTCCGTTTCAGTCCATAGGGTGGGGGCAACCTGGGCTAATCCAATCCAGTGGGACATAGGCAAGGAGGGATGGGGAAATGAGGAATGGAACTAACAGGGCTTTGTTCATTTATGACTATTCCAGCCAAGCTCTCCATGTCAAGCTCCACCTCCCTCTTCCCCGAGGAGTGGCCAGGTCAGTTGTGGGGAACAGGAAAGACTGATACCCAATCAGACTCCTCTGGGAACTTAGACTAGGGGGTAGAAGATGAAATTGGATAGTGGGGAATGGTTATTTGCTAATGGTAAAAAGTAAATGCCCTTAGAGGTAGCAAGGTCTTATCTACCCTTTCATATCTCTTTAACTTCTAGTTTATCTCAGGACTTGAGCAGCCCAGAACAGAAAGCAGAGTTGGGTGAGGGAGTGCTTCAATGGGACCTTCCTCGGGTACAGGGTGGTTCCCAACTCTGTGGCCTCTTCCAGGTATTGACCACCAAACATTGTTCTCCTGACTTCCATAAGCCAATTCCCAGCTCTTTTGATCCCTTCAGTGTGTAACCTCTGTCCCCTCCCATAAACCTCACCTCTACCCATGCTTTCTTCTTCCCAGATGGATGTCCCTGGACTTCCTGACCCCCCAAGCCCAGCCCCTCCTCTGGGCTTAGGTCCTGCAAGCCTCTCATTCGAGCTGCCTCGGTACACTTGCTCAGGGCTCCAGGTTCGGTTTCTTCGGCTCACAGCCCCTGGGACTCCTGGCAACATTTCCCCACATACATGGGTGAGACACCTAAGCCACAGTGATACTTATGTCATCCGGATCTGAGACCCAAAGTGGGAGCGCTATGTCAACCTGCCTCTGGAAAGGAAGAATGATGGAGTGTTCTACCACCATTGTCACCATCGAAGGGTTGGAAACTTCCAGCAGAGACAGAGCTGAACACATAGGTCCTGGCAGGGTAATGAGAATCTGGCTCTAGTCCTCTTTCTTGACTTTAAAAGAACTCAGGTAGATCTGTGGTTACAAACTGAACTGTTTTATTTTGGGGAGGGGTCTGTACAGTGGGACATATCTGAAGACAGCTGATGGGGAGAGGTGACTACTCCTTACCCCGAATCAAAATGTAATAACATTAATGAGAATTTGTATTTGAATGTGAGAATACCATTTTGTAGAAGCCTTTGTATGAAGCCTTCAGGGGGTAGGCTGAGGAGAGCTGGAACTAGAGGGATGTGAACCATTGGCCTTAGGAGTACCAGGAGCTGGAGGGGGGCTATCCCCAATATCCTGTTTTCCTCCAGAAAGGGAGCCACCCCCAAGGGGAGAAGGGGAAGAAGACGATGGAGGAGGAGCTGGAGAAGCGTGGGAAGCTGGCCCTCCCTTGCCTTCCCCAGATGGTGGAAGAGATACAACAATGTATTTCTGGACACTGCCTGCCCCTGAGGGGGCTTGGCTAGGAGGGGCTGCTGCTGCAGTGGAGACTAACTTCACAATAGGCTGGACACTGGGGACTGTGGTGGTGACAGGAGAGGTAGTGGTAGAGCCAGAGCCAGGGGCTGCCGTGCTAAGAGACAGGACCTAGAGAAGAAGAGATGGAACTAAGTTAACACTGCATCTTCTAAGACCTGATAATTCCCATTTTTCCCATTTCACTCCATCCATTTAGTCCTTTTTTTGTTCTTATAGAAGATAGTAACTTGAAAGAATCTGTGCTACTAAACCAGCCTGAATCAGATGTGGCCTACACACCAATCCATCAGAGCCTTCACCTTTCACCTCCTTCCTATGGAGATGCTTTTTCTAAAAAAAAACACCCACAAACCTTAGAAAGCCAGTGAGAGAATAGGAAAACCACATAGATCCAATACCCTGCCACAACAACCCCAGTTTAAAGCTATTTCAGAAGCCCAAAAGGCTGCCAGGTGGAATAATCTTATATTGGAGCAGCCCAATCTGCACAAGGCAGGAACCTTGAAGAACAGTGTAGGAAACAAACAGTCTCAACTGTTTTCTAGTATGCCAATGATTTTGCTCAGGGCCAGGTAGTATATCCCTACCCAGTCCCAGTAGCCCTCTCCCCAAATACCTGTTGTGAAGATGAGGCACCAGAGGAAGATGACATGACTATGAACTTGGTTGGAGGTGGGGAAGGCTGGGGGGGCGCCGCAGCCCTTGCAGACACCAGTGTCTGAACAGGTAATGCAATGGAGCCAGGAACCTTCAGCAGCCCAGTGGTTCGAGGGCCTGACTGGGGGGCCTGGGAGAGTGTCAGTGTAGGCCGGGGCTGCAGGGAAAGAAAAAGCAGCACCTGTTACCTAAAGTGCCAAGAGAGGAAAGGTGGTGAGAGGGACAGGCCCTTCTCAGAGCTTTTTTCCTTCCAACTATGTCCTGTAGTTACTGACCTGTGTGATGGTCAGTGTGGTCCTGTTAACCTGCTGGGCTTGTAGGGCAGCCTGTGCCCGGGCCTTGACCACATGAGAGCACAGAAGAGGTCCTAGGGAACCAAAGTCTGTCCGAAAAGCATCCTGATTATCTGGTGGCGGCCGTAGCTTTGCCAGCACTGGGGCACAATGTTTCTGTGGAGGATAAGTAGGCTATGTGATCATACCTGGTTGAAAAGCAAGGAACAGGTGGGAAACCTATAAATGTATAAAGTGTGAAAGGCTAATCATGCTACAGGGGAATAGGAGTTCTCAAGCTGTGATTCCTAGGCTCCTCTAGCTCAGGAATTCTTAACTGGGGTCTGTGAACTTGTTCTTAAAAATATTTTGATAATTACGTTTCAATATAATTGGCATCCTTTATAATCTTATGTATTTTAATAGATTTTAAAATACTATTTTGAGAAGGGGTCCACAGGCTTCACCAGACTGCCAGCCAAGGGTCCATGACACAAAAAAGGTGAACAATCTTGCTTGTGAAAATACCTCTACGGACAGTCCCCAATTTACAAATAGGTCACGTTCCGAAAGTTCCTATTTTAAGTCAGTTGTCTGGAAAGGCTATTCCTGGTTTACCATTTGTAGACCTATTTGAGTTAGTCTTTATACTTACATTTACACTTCTGTTTTCTAGCAACCTGTATTTGAGCATTTACTTAATATGTTAGTGCACAAATTAATAATTTGTTAAAGACATTCCTTGGTGTCTCTACTAAAGTCTTGTAAAAGTCAACATAGCATGGAAGTGGCCCTGGTTTTGCTAATGTTATACCAATGGAATCTAAGTTCTGGCAGATTTTATATCAATTGGAAAGGCTTTTTTTTATTTTTAGTACAGGCCAGGCCATGTATAGTACCTATGTTTGTTTTGCTTGAGGAGGAAATTTTGCCCTTTCAGAACAGTGGACCAAATCATTTTGACCACCCCACAGTTTTGGGCATAATAGGCAGTGTGTTCTAAGAGAAATAGCTGAATCAAGGTGACTTAGGTTTAGCTCTAATTAAGTATGTTACAGATAGGATCAAAAGTGCTTTACAAAGTGAACCATAAGAAAGGACTGTGTGTGTGTGTGTGTATTTTTCAAAGACTTGGTCAGGAAAGAAGGCTCATCCACTGACCAAAAGGAGGCTTTGCACATGATCAGCTCCAATCCGATCAATGTTGCTCAACACAGGGCCATCTAGGACACTTCGAATCCGCTCACCTTCCTGCTGGAGCCTTGGTAGAATCAGTGTTTTAATGACCTAGAGAGATAAGAAACAGCACCAGGTCACTATTAAGCTGCTCCCATACCTTGAGAACCACTCACCCCTTCACCCCCCCCCCAATTTTCCCCTTCCTCAGATACCACTCTTCCTTTTCCCTTTTCTCCCCAAGTAGCTTACATCGTGCCCAAGTTCTGCCAGGCCAGCGATAGAGCCATAGCGGGTAGTCCAGGGAGTCTTCTCATCTACCCAGCTCTGCAAAGGAAGGAATATTAAAATAGGAGCAAGGAAGGCAAGTAATGGAAGAGGAAAACAGGGTCCTGGTTAAGGCTATTAAATAAAACTCCTCCTAACCCCAAATCTAGTCCCTATTAGCCATGCCTATAATCCCTCACCCTTGATTCTAAGGAAAATCTTAAGTGCTAAGGAGATGTTTTGGCTGTAGAAGTGAACTGAAATGCTCCCCCACACATACACACACCTTAGTGAAGGTCTTTGTGATCCGGGACTGGATGTTGTTGGTAGTTGTACTGAAATGTTTGCAGATCTGAGCTACTAGGCGAGCTGCAAAATCCCTGAGTGCCCAGTGATTATCTACATCCGGTCGAAGACACAGCTGTCGGCTCACAATACAAGTCATCACAGCAGGAATCAACTCGTGTACCTGGGTGGAAGAGCCAACCTCTGTGTATTGGGATCACTGAGCTCTCAGTGGCAATGGCAAGAATTATTGAGAAGCAAGAGTGGGGGGATAAAAAGCAATGATGAGATTAAGAACCTACTTACATATTTCTCCAGGTACAGTGTTGGATTATCCATCAGAGCCTTCACCATTCGCATCAGGTAGATAAGTAGGGCCAAATTATTCTGAACAACATTCACACGTACCTAGGGGAGCAGACGGGAGAGGAAAAGAGGCAGAATTTTATAGGACATTAAAAGAGACCGAGGCCTTTCTTCTAGCTTCTACCCTTTGCCCTCAACCTTCCTCTTGTGACATTTCTCTTACCCCCTCAGAGATGAAAGTGCTAAACCTTGGCAGCATCTGATAAAGTCCAGGGTCTGTAGCAATGCTCTGGAGAGCTTCCTGTATGGGAAAAGAGAATAGCTTGGGGAAAGAAGAAATGGAAGAGTTGGAAGAAGCAGAGAAGGTGAGGCAGGATAAGATGGAGAAATGGGAAAATAACCCTGGAAAGGGGTAAGAAACCTCTGGGACTTTAAGGAATGCAGCTCTTAAGGCACGATGTCTTACCGCTCTCTTGGCCTCACATGACCCTACACAGGCCTCAGTTATCTCCTTGTAGTACAGTTGCTGCTCCACAGACAACTCATGGATACTCCGGGGCTTCAGTCTCAGTGGGGCACCCTCCAGCAGGGGTGGAGCTTTCTTTTCTTTCCCTGGTGGGGAGTGGGAAGATGGCAAGATAGCAACAGGATTGGTCTCATTCCTATGTGAAACCTAGTTTGCACCAAGGAAGACCTAGTTCCTAAATCCTGCCCCATCTTTCTTCTTCCCTCAAGTCTACTGAAGGGTCTGTGAACCTTGATCCTTTTCTCCACCCCGAAGTTTCCATACTCCCATAACCCTTTACCAACCCTGTCCTCCCAACTAACAAGAATGAAACCTGAGTTTTAGCCCCTCATCCTGCCTTGCTGACCTTTACCATCTGCTGATACAGCTCCTTGACCTTTGCCTTTCAGTGGTCCATCCTCTTCCTGTCCTGGCTTTGCAGATTTCAAGGGCTCTGTTGCTTCAGCCTTTTGCTGCTCTTTGGGGGCTAGGGATACAAAAGGAATGAGCAACAAAGAGAAGTGAAATTAAGTCAGGGAATACCAGAAATAAATGGAGAAGGATGGGGGAAAAAGGAGATAGTGTAACTTGAGGCAGGCTCTAGGGATTAGGGAACTAATGGGGGCAAGGAATGAATAAAAGAAGGCCTACCTGGGGGTGGGTTCTCTGGGATAGCGGGCTGAAAACCCTCAATACTCAGCCAGTGAGCTAGGAGAGAAGTGAAAGTCAAATGGTCTTAATCATTTAATCAGCTATCACTTAAGCAAGACTTAAAGGATTTGCAATAATTTTTTAAGTGTAGGCACTTGTTCCATTAATATAGCCCCACAGTAACTTAGTAATATGGTCTTTGCTGTGGCTGAAATTTTGATTATCTTGTATCTAACCCACTGAGGAGCTTTTCCAACCTTGGCTAGATTGATCTTTGGAGACCATTCATGCCTATCCATCTTGGCAGGACTTGGCTGAGCTCAATCTCCATACAAGTAGCCTTTGAGAACCCAGGGTTGCTACTATAGCATGAGAAAACATTGGAGTATGACCTGATAATGGTGTTCACTCCTGCCACAACCTCTAGTTTTCCCCAGGGTCTCCCAACCTTTGATTTTGATCAGGCCTCCCCACCTCTCCAAAATTCTTTCCTTTACAAGTCTCCTTATAATGCTTCTAAAAATCTTCTATCCCTTTCCTACCTTTGAGGCAGACATCAAGTGGGACACGGGGTAGGGGAGTGTTAATGATGTCACTCAAGTCAACCTCTTTCTCCTCATAGAAATAAAGTTCCCGGCCCCCACCAGAGGCAAACCGGAATGGGATGAATTCCTGGGCATGAAACCCATACAGAGGCTGAGGGAGAGAAGTAGATCAAAAAAAGGAGACTTAGGATGAGACAGGGAAGGAGGAAAACAGTAAAACTAAAGTAGTGGAGCTTTTTGCCCCAAGTCACTTCTTTTCCCAGGCAGCCTGGTTTCTCTACCACTACCACTACCTCCATCTCCCCAGGCCCAGTTCCCCGACATACTTCAACATTCTTCAACTTCAGGGCATAGTCTATATCACTTGTTGTGAGCTTCTGCCGCTTCCCCATATGCATAAATTTCAGGGCATCCTATAGGGAAGAGGTTGAAAACCAGGGTCACAGAAAAGAACACAGTCAATTCAATGCAATATTTGGGAATGTAGAATTTGGAGGTTCCAAATCATGAAGATTTGAGAGTTCAGTGGGTTAGGAAGGAAAAAATAAACAAAAATCACACCAGCTTCTAAGAAACCAAGGGCTTACCTGTGCAATCTCCTTAATACGATAGCTAACTTCATCTGTTAATAGCTGGCAGGTCTCTTCAGGCATTTGAGCAATGCCCATGGATTCTGCCACAACTTTCATTGACTCTGAGGGCAACACAGTGTTGCTTAACTTTAGTTTCTTTTCTTCTGCCATAATGAAATATGGCACCACTCCCAATCCCCTCTCTAGGGGCAGTGCTCTACAAAAGAGATAGATAAATTTAAAATGAGATTAGGAGAGGGCAAAATAGAAATTGAAAGAATCCACCGATCACCTCCTGAAAGAGATCCCCAAAGGAAAACTCCTATAAATATTATGGCCAGATTCCAGAATTCCCAGGTCAAGGAGAAAATATTGCAGGCAGCCAGAAAGAAACAATTCAAGTATTGTGGAAACACAATCAGGATAATACAAGATTTAGCAACTTCTACATTAAGGGACTGGAGGGCATGGAGTATGATATTCCGGAAGGCAAAGAAGACAGGATTACAACCAAGAATCACCTACCCAGCAAAACTGAGTATAATCCTTCAGGGTAAAAAATGGTCATTCAATGAAATAGGGGACTTTCAAGCATTCCCGAGGTAAAGACCAGAGCCGAATATAAAATTCGACTTTCAAATACAAGACTCAAGTGAAACATGGAAGAGGTAAACCGGAAAGAGAAATCATAAGAGACTTATTAAGGTTGAACTGTTTACATTCCTGCAGGGAAAGATGATATTTGTAACTCATGAGTCCTTTGTCAGTATTAGGGTAGTAGGAGGGAAAAAAATTATATGTATGTATAGATAGATAGAGGGCACAGGGTGAGTTGAAGATGAAGGGGTGATATCTGGAAAATAAAATTAAGGGGTGAGAGAAGATTATACTGGGAGAAGGAGAAAGGGAGAAGTAGAATGGGGTAAATTATCTTACATGAAACAGACAAGAAAAGGCTTTTACAGTGGAAGGGAAATGGGGGAAGGTGAGAGGGAATGAGTGAATCTTATTCTCATAGGATTTGGCTTAAGGAGGGAATAACATACACAAAGGGGTATGGAAATCTATCTTACCCTACAGGAAAATAAGGGGGGAAGGGGACAAGAGAGTAGGGGGTTAATAGAGGGGAGGGCAGATTGGGGCAGGAGATAATCAAAAGCAAACACTTCTGATGAGGGACAGGGTCAAAAGAGAGAACAGAATAAATGGGGGGCTGGATAGGATGAAGGGAAATAAACTTAGTTTTTCACAACATGACTACTATGGAAGTGTTTTGCATGACTACACATCTATAACCTGTATCAAGATGCTTGCCTTTTCAATGAGGGTGGGTGGGGAAGGAGGAAGGGAGAAAATGTGTAACCCAAAGTTTTAAAAATACATGTTAAAAATTAAAAAAGAATATTTTTCATTTAAAAAAATTAAAAAAAAAAGAAATATATGCAATATATAGAATAAGAAATAAATGCAACATAGAATAAATGCTTATAGAATTGAATTAACAAAGAGGTTGTTCTGTTTTCCCAGAGAAACTGATTTTCCCCAGCACATCTCCAATTTCTTATGACACCCTGTCTTCTAAACTCTCACTCCCAAGCTTGGTCCCCCAGGGAGTCAGCAACTCTCAAGAGTCCCCAACTCCTAAAAATTTCCAGTGGGTCCCTGCAACATATATAGCATTCCAAATGCAGGTCTAAACTGACCCTACTTCACTTGAACAGGCAAGTGAATTTCTTAAAGAAGAAACTGAGGGGCAGCTAGGTGGTGCAGTGGATAGAGCACCAGCCCTGGAGTCAGGAGGACCTGAATTCAAATCTGACCTCAGGCATTTGACACTAGCTGTGTGACCCTAGGCAAGTCACTTATCCCCAACTGCCTCACCTTAGGGAAAAAAATCCAACCATCCCAAAAGAACCCCAGGTTTCTAAGAAGGTATTACGTATTTAAGGTGGATTACTCAGGGTTCCTAGGCTGTCAGGCAAACCTTATTCCTACCTACCTAAAGTCTAATAAAGGATCTGTGGACAAGTTGTTTAGACTCATGCCTCAATAAGGCAAACAGTCCAGATCTGCTCTGTTCAAGTCTAATTTTAAAAATTAACATGAATGCACTTCCACATTGTGCTCTACTCCAATATTTGGCCCACAGGGATCCTTATATACAGTTTAGTGGACTCTGTTTCTATTTGAGTTTGACACCACTACTCTAGGCAAATCAATATCATATGCAACCTCCATATTATATGTTTCTGCTTTCACATTCTTATAGTGAGACAACACATATTAACACTAAACTTCTGTGTGGCTAAATTCTCATCTACAAATCGAACCAGTTTCCTTGAAAGTAAACGTAATGGAAAACTGATTGTTCAATTACAATCTAAAACAAAAGAATATGCTAATTTTTCTCCTGCAATATTAGGGCATCCAAGAAAGACAATCCCAGAACACATAGGGCATCCAAATATACTCTAAACAAAGCCTCACTGAATAGTTCCCTCCTTCAGGAACTACCCTATCCCCAACTTGCACTTGAAGGTTTGGTTCTTTGGAGGGATGACTTGCTATCTTGGGTCCAAAAGGTACTCTATTCTGTAGGCTGGTACTCCAAGTTCACAAGCCCTAAATCCTAGCCCACTAGCTCTCACCAGTGAGCTTACCATTAGGTGAAAGCAAAGACATTTAAAACTGACATCATAAAAACAAGTAGCTACAAAACACTTCCTACATACACAGGAAGAATGGGAGGGTGGAAAAGTGGGAAGGAAGGAAGGAAGGATTTATTAAGTTCCTACTACGTGTCAGGCATTATGATTTACAAGTATGATCTCATTTGATTCTCCTATCCCTACTTTATAGCAGAGGAAATAGACAAACAGAAGTGACACAGCCAGTGTCTGAGGCTGGATTTGAACCAAGACACCTCACAGTGGGAAAAGTGGGCACAAACGGAGAGTACACACACAATTCATACTTCAGCACAGCTGGGCACTGGGGTCCTTTTACCACTTCTTTCTGGGTTTGACAGCTGACCTGGAAAGGTGGCTCCACTCCCACCTTGAGTTTGCTCCTCACTGGGAACCGAAAGCTCCCCAATGGGCAGCTATTGTTTCTACCACCTAATTTAACTGAACACAGCTGAAATTCAGAACAAAGATAAGGATCTGGACTTTTTCATAAAAAGTCCAGATCCTTACCCTAGGACTCTCAGAAGCTTTCCCAGGTATGCTCTTTGGGGGCCTCTGCTCTGAGACCTATCACCTCCCAGACTGGAGAACAGGAAGCAGGATCATTTCAACAAACTAAAAGCCTAAGGTTTAGCATCTTCTTTCAATTCTTCCTAGAAAAAGGCCGAGTCCTTTTAGCCAGACTTAACATCAATTTTCGATGAAAATCCCATATATTTCTCAAATGTTCATCTCTGCAGGCCAAACAATAACCATTTTTGTCCAATAATCAACAAACATCTATACGATTCAGGGTTCCCCATTTTTAAAGTACTTTAAATCTCTTGGTGGTCTATGCAAATGAGATGGGAAAAGGTATAAAAGCAAGCTATTCCCTGGCTAATAGTTTCACATCCTTTGGGGAGGGCAAATGAGCACACCCAGTGGCATGCTCTTTCCACAGTACAAAATAGCCCAACTCCAAATCTGTAATTTAAAAAAAAAAAAGTCACTTTCTTTTTTGGAATGCTCTATGATATTAACAACCAAATCTGATCCCAAATTAGAAATGAGAAAATTCACCTCCTTCACTTCGTTACAAAGGTGAAAAACAAAAGGTGTGGTATTAGTGGAAAAGAAGCTCATTCAGAAATCCTATCTGAATGAGCCACACGCTTACCTCAGAACTCTGGTTATTACAGGGACTTCACTTGTGAGTTCCCTCTATACGGAACTCTCAAATGAAACTCCCTCTACCAATGCAGGGGCCTTCTGTGATAGCTATAGTCTTATAAAGTTACCTGGGGCACTGAGAGGTTAAACGACTTGTCCAGTGTCACACAGCCAGCATTCCTCACAGGCAGAATTTGAATACAGGTCTTCCTGCTTTCCGCCAGCTCTCTATCCGCAACGCCAGGCCAAAGTCGAGGCCTTTTCACTCTTCTAAGCGACCCCAATAAATGAGTTCCCACACTCCTCGTGCAGGCCACAAGGAATTCCCACTCCAATTCCCCAATTCTCCAAAAGGACCGCTCTCCCTCCCAACTCCTCCTCCGGAAAATTAAACAAATATCCCGGCTCCCCCTTCCCGCGCATGCGCAGAACGTCCCGGTAGTCACCAGAATCCCCCGCGGGGAGCCTCCAATAAGCTCTGGGGACACTTTCCTCCCCTATACCCACTTGACGCTCGCCTATCGAGCCCCTGAAGACATGCCTCCCGACGTCTGGCTCCCCCACCGCGTGCTCACTCGGCTTCTTCACCAGCTCCCAACACGCAAGCTACCATCTCAAACCTCTGCCTCCCCGGTGGCTCCAGGCAGAAGCTTAGACTTCCTCACAGGTCCTGGCAGAGCAAAGTGAAAGCCCCCTCAGCCCGCCGCCTCAGCCCGGAAAAATCCTCCGCCAATAGCTTCCACAAAAGGGTTTCTTCCATATTCCCTTGGACAAAAGGAATAACCTCCGCTGCCTGCCTTAGCTGTTTCCCCACTTCTTTTCATCCTGTTTCGCCAAATCTAGGACCTGGGCGGTAGTAAAAGGCGGCTGCGCCTGCGCAGCAAGAGGGCCTAAGCGAGGAGTCCAAGCGTGTTCGTTGTCTGAGTCTGCGCGGTTCCTCCCCCCCTCCCCCCAGCTTCGTATTGCGCGTACTCGCGCCTTGCCAGGCTGGATTTAAAGGGCCATTTCCTTTCAACCTGGCTTTTCAAAAATCGTTCCTTTGTCGTCGCTGTCAGAGGTCGGGGCTCGGTAGCTTAATATGGGACAGTGGTGGCGGCGGCGGCAGCTGCTGCTGTTTTGCTTCTTCCTGCTTGCATTGAGGAGCTGTTCTGGGAAGCAAAAGAAAAAAGAAGAGGAGGAGGAGGAGCACCTACCCAGCAAATGCGAAGGTAGCCTGGGCATCCGTCCTCCCCTCCGCTGGAGGCGTGCCAAGGATGCGCCTTGCGCTCCTGGGGCCGTCTCGGATGGGATCTGAGATAGGGGCAGGGAGTTTGTAGAGGTAAAAAAGCGGGGTGTGGGGGTGAAGGTGGGTATGGAGACTGAAGCTGGCTGTGTGGCCACAGGCAAATCACATAACCTCTCTGAGCTTGTTTACCCATCTGTAAAATGGGCATGGTATGTATCCCACCTACGGACCTGGCTGTTGTGGGGGAAGCGTTTGGTAAACTTTAAAGAACTCTGTTGCTGTCATTCCCCTTCCCGTCACTGCTGCCTTAGTTTTTCAGGGACTCTGGGATTTAGGGAAATTGGACCTGGGTGTGAATTCAGGCTCTGTCACTTGCTGACCAAGCTCCTTAAGATTCTCTTGCGCCTTCCTTTCCTTATCTGTAAAATGGTGATGATGATGGTTGTATTACCTTGTTCTCAGGGCTGTTGTGAGGCTCAAGTAAACATAAAGGACTTTGTCAATTAAAACCCTAATTAAATACTGGTTATTCTTTGTTGTTGTTCAGTCATGTCCGACTCTTCATGACCCCATTTGGGGTTTTCTTGCCAAAGGTAATAGGGTGGTTTGCCATTTTCTTCTCCAACTCATTTTACAGATGAGAAAACTGAAGGCAAACAGGGTTAAGTGACTTGCCCAGGGTCACACTGTAAACACAGTGTTTAAATGTCTGAGGTTGTATTTAAACTCAGGTCTTCCTGACTCCAGGACTGGAGCTCTATCCACTTAGCCACATAATTGCCCACTGGCTGTTTTTACTGTAGTTTGTTTAAATAGTTCTTTGGTCCATCTAACAGGGAAATTCACCAGTCTTGTGAGTCTCCAGCCTCCACCAAAGCCCAATTCTAGTGCCTTACTGTGACAGTGATGAGTTTTTGAAGGCTGTACAGATGGAGTTTAAGATGTAGGAAACCCTACAAAACCAGAAAGGCTTCAAGTACACGTCCAGCAAAGAACTCTTAGCCTTTCATCAAAGCACTAAATTAGGAGTTTATTACTGGGTTGGCCCAGTAACTATTTTTACAACACAGCAACTCATAAAGATCAACTACTAAGATACAAAGGGGTTGTGTTCTACATTGAGAAAGGGAGTATTTCCCACCTGGACAAAATCACAGTTCCTTTAAGTGTATAATGTTGGTGCCTCTGAGCTCATATCTTAGAACTGATGGAAACTGTAATTCAAGCCTACCAAGTTGGAAGTGGGGTTTGAAGAAGTGTATTACAGCTGAAAAGGACCTTAGAGATCTTTTAGTCCACATGGCAGCAGTTGTGAGCACCCTGCCCTGTCCCACCCTAGCTTGGAAGCTTCCAAATGAGAAGAAGCCTTTTGGCTCCTTGGAGAGAGGAGGTGATTCAGCCACTGCTTGATGCCCATAAACTAGCAAGGAAGAACAAGGGTATTTGTCACATTGCCTGTCTGGGGGATGTTTGGGAAGGATATCCCCAAACAGTTTTGGACTGTGCAGAAGTTGTAAACTGTATGGACTTCATCCTACACTGATTTGCCTGTTGCTGCATAGCTAGTGTCATTTTCCCTGGTGAACTTAGTGTTACTGATATAATTCATTGTTTTAGAAGATCTGATTTCATAAGTGTGGCCCTTCAGTTGATGCAGAAGGCAACCCTCCCCACAACACACCCCTTTAATAAAACTTCATAAGAAGTTATGGCAAAAAAAAAACCAAAAAACATTTCCCGATGGTCAACACTATGGTGATAAGCCTCTTCCCATTTAGGCTGGTTCTTGGATAACAAACTTACACCATCTGTTACCAAGGCTGTAATTCATGGTCTTCAAGAGCCCAGAACCACCATGAAGCTTCAGAGTAGGATGCTAAAGGTATTACTGACATTAATAATAATAATAAGTAGCATTTATATAGTATCACTGTTTATAAAATGCTTTACAAATATCTCATTTTAGCCTTATAACAGATTTAGGAGGTGATATTTTGCAAATTGGGAAACTGAGGCAGACAGAGGCTAAGTGACTTGGATGAGGTCACACAGCCAGTAAGTATCTAACGCTGAATTTGAACTTGGATCTGTCTTGACTCTATGTCCTGTGTTCTACGCACTGTAATAGCCAACTGCCCACATAACATAAGTGGAGTAAAAACAGTGCAATAAAACAAACATTTCTTTTGTCTGTATCATGGGATCAAGTGAGATAATATTTGTAAAGCATTTAGCACAGTGTCTGCCAGGTACCTAGTGGGCAGTATATAAATGTTTATTCCCTTCTCTTCCCCTATAACACGAATTCTAGGCATAGGGAACAACAATCAGTAAAGGCATGAAAGCACATGCTGTCTATCTTCCATTTTTGTATATATTATTACATTCTTCCTCCCCCCAACCCCATCCCATGCCTGGAATATATTCCCTCCTCACCTTTGCCTCTTGGAGAATTCTGGCTCAAAGCCATTTTCCTTACACTCTACCCTCACTCCCCTGTTGCTAGTACCCTCCTCCACCTAAGTATTTACTTTACTCTGTCTATGTGTTTATTCTTCTGTGTGCCTTTATAAACTCCTTGAGGAGTTTATTTGCTTTGCTATTTTGCTTTTTATCCTTGTATTTCCAACACCTAGCATAGCGCCTGGTAGGCTCTTAATAATGCTAAACAGTGATGGTCAGAATCCTGTAGTTGTACCCAGGATGGATTGAAGAGAAAAGAGAGAAGAAGCAATTAAAGCCAATAAGGAGGGTACTGAAATATTCCAAGTGGGTGAGAATGAGAATTTGTGGCATCCTTAAGAATAGATGGGTTGGATTTGAGAAATGTTGTAAAGGTAGGAGTTAAAGGACTTGGTAACTAACCTTTGAGGTTATGAGCATAGGTGACCAGGTGAATGGTGGGGCCACGAGATGGAAATAATTACGTCAGAAAGAGGAGCAGATTTGAGGAGAAGGATGATCAGTCTTTGCTGAAGTATATCATATATGAAGTTGTAGGTAAGGAGGTAATTTGGGGATGGGCTAGGAAGAAGATAAGAGAAGAGGTCTCAGATGTCAGTATATGATAATATATCTATGTACCCTAGGACAGGGTGAATGCCTTTCTCACATTGAAGAGAGGGGATGTCTAATAACTGACTCCTCTGTTCTTCCCTACCCTACCCACCTCCTAATTTATACAAACCACCCTCAGGGGGCAGCTAGGTGGCGCAGTGGATAGAGCACCGGCCCTGAATTCAGGAGGACCTGAGTTCAAATCCAGCCTCAGACCAAACACTTGACACTTACTAGCTGTGTGACCATGGGCAAGTCACTTAACCCCGATTGCCTAAAAACAAAAACAGAAACAAAAGAAACCACCCTCAGGAACTGAAGAAATAGACCTTAGTGAGCTGGAATAGACCTTAGTGAGCCTCTTTTCAGCTTCTCTGTTTCATTAGGAATCGTAGGCCCAGGAAGTAAGATGATTTGCTCAAGGTCACGTGACTAATTAGTAACATTAATAATCATAACTGACATTTTGTAGAACACCTTAAAGTTCGAAGTGGATGCTACCGATAGTATTAACCCCAGTTTACAGATGAGGAAACCGAAACTGAGAGGTTAACTGATTTGCCCAGTCACGTAGCTGGTGTGTGAGATGGGATTTGAAACCTTCTTTTTCTTACTACCAGGCGAGCACATTGTCTATCACACCAGGGTGCCCACAGCTAAAGCCCAGGTCTCTTGCCCCCAAGTGTGCACTCTGCTACGTATCTTGTTTTAACATACTTCTGGCAACTGTTTTCTCCCCCACAGTCTGTAAAATACTGAGCTTGGAGCTTCAGGGGGAGCTGAATCGGAGCAGCCAGTCTCGAGAGTTGCTAGAACTAGGGCAGGTGCTAGACACTGGCAGGAGGAAAAGACAAGTCCCCTACAGCACTTCGTGAGTCTCCTTTGACTGTCCTTCTGTCGTGGTACCTCTAAGGCTTCATCCCTTACATAGCCCTATAAATCATTGCCTAACTTTCTTCATCCCCACAGTTCCCAATGAGTCATCTGTTTCTTTCCCATTGTCTCCCATCTCTCTCTCCCACAGGGAGATTCGGCTGGAGGAGGCCCTGGAGGACCTGTGTGAACAGATTTTGGATTACAGCATCCATGCTGAGCGTAAGGGCTCCCTAAGATATGCCAAGGTAAAATAAATCTTCTCCCTGTGCTTGCCCTTTAATGGCACAAACCAACATGGGGGTCCCACTGCTCAGAGGGACCATTCTTTGTTCTTCCTCCTCCTGGAGGCCTTTGCCAAGACCTCTGCCCTTGGGATGTCCCATGCCCTCTCCCATTCTGTCTCAGCCCTTGATCTACTGTGGGTACTCCATTCCCACCCCCAGGTTCAATGAAAAGATCCTGATATAGTGGGGATAGGGGGAAGGGAGGAGGAGAGAGAAATAGAGACAAAGGAGGCTGACCCTGCCAGAGTCCTCTGTCTCTTTCCTCCCTCCCACATCTCCCTCACCCCAGGGTCAGAGTGAGACCATGGCAACCCTGAAAGGCCTGGTACAGAAGGGAGTGAAGGTGGATCTGGGAATCCCTTTGGAACTGTGGGATGAACCCAGTGTGGAAGTTGCGTTCCTCAAGAAGCAGGTAAGAAAATGTCACATGCCAGAAAGAGGAGATGAGATGGGACAGACAGCAGGGTATGGACTTGAGGAATAGAATAAGACAATAAGTGCTGATCATGGGGGCAGCCAGGGACTGGGGCATAGACAAGACTGGACCCGTCTCCTAGAAGAGGGTGGTGGGGGAAGGAAGAGAGTAGGCAGAGGAGATCAGAAGGAATGGATTTGAATTTCTGAGAATTCTTCACCCAGAAGCAGAGATTCTGTCTGCCATCTCCCTTCTCCTTTGCTACTCTTCCCTCCCTGTCAGTGTGAGCTGATGTTGGAGAGCTTTGAAGATGTCATTGAAGACTGGTATTTCCACCACCAGGAGTTGCCCCTGCAGCAGTTCCTCTGTGAAGGGCATGTGCTTGGGAAGGAGGAGATGGGTGAGTAGTCCAGGGGCAGGCTGAGTGTTGGAGCTGGAAATACAGGAACCTACCTGTATACTCACTGTCTGTCTTTTCATCAACCCAGACTGTCTTCAGGAAATCTGGACTGAGGAATCGAGAGAACAGAATGAGAAGAGCTTGGAAGACAGCCTCGGGCACCATGCCCATGATGCTGCGGACCTCTGACCAGAGTCAAGCCTAATGTCACCTCCTCTTTTTCTAGATCACTATTAAAGTTTGTTTATATATATGTATATATCATGTAGGTATGAAGGTGATGTCACCTTTACAACTGTACCTTTAGCCAAGCCACATTTGGAGATTTTGTCCACTCAGTGTGGCTGCTGGCTGTGGTAGCTCCTAAGGTTAGAGACAACAGAAGTGAGTGGCAAGGCAAGGCCATGGTTGGAGGAAGCTGTGGAGGTTCAAGATGTTTTCAGACTTGCACCTGAGCCACCATCCACCCTGAGCCTATGTCTAGTGGGGAGGTTTACAAGACCAGTACCATCTTGGCAGATAAACATGTAAAGGAGCTTATGGAGGTCAATAGCCATTAGTGCCTTTTCTGTGTGCTTTCCTTCTGACAAGGTGGGAAAGTGGGGAGGAGTGGCCCATGGAAGAAGAAAGTGACCAGAATACTTAGAAGACCCCGCAAAGACTCTTTGCATGTATAGGTGCAGATACCGTACTGAAGCCAGTGAGTATGTGAGAGCTGCGTCCTAGAACGGGGTTCTTAACTTGGGGTCTATGAATTTTTTATTAATATTCTGATAATTGTACTTCTATATAATTGGTTACCTTTGTAATCTTATGTATTTTTTAAATGAATTTTTAAAACATTATTCTGAGATGGGTTTCTTAAGCTTTACAGTCTGCCAAAGGGATCAGTGACACAAAAATGGTTAACAACCCTCATCCTAGCAGGTGGAAGGGAAAATCGGGTTGAAGGCTGAGGAGGAGAGGTCGGAGTGTTAAAGATCCCGTCATTTTGCAAAAAGGATAAATTAAATGGGCATAGGAGAGGGCCCTCACAACAGGCTGCTTTAGGGTTGACCAGGGTGAGTGGCAGAGTTTTATAAATAGCCAGTAACCTACATGCCTTTTTCTCTCTTCTTCCTTAGCTTAGAATGCTCCTGGCCATGAGCTTGCATGAATGGACAGGCTCTGGATGGTGACTTCCCTCTGGGGATTTCCAGAGATGCCTATTCTGTGGTAGTCCTGCTTCTAGGCTACTCAGAGCCTCAGTAGGCTGGGGGTGCCCAGAGAACTGATGGCTCTGTCAGCTTTATCATGTTCAAGGCCTAGGGCCTGGTTCTTGAGAATCTGGACACGGGCCAATAGTAGCCCATAAGTAGGGAGACCTAAGCACCCAGGAGAAGGGGGCCTCAAGCCCTATCCTGGTAAACACTGGGGCCTCCTGGATTTAGGAAGTCCTGTCAGAGGCCCTAATACATAGGAAACCATAGGCTTATTCCCTGAAGTCGCCATTCTGATTTCTGTAGCTGCTTTCCCAACAGAGGCAATGAGGTTTCTTAGTGGATAGAGTGTTTGACCTGGAGTCAGGAATACCTAAATTCAGATCCAGTTCAGACATTTACTATCTATGTGACCCTGGGCAAGTCACTTAAATTCTGTCTACCTCAATATTCCTCAGCTGTAAAATGGGGATCACAATGGCATCTATCTCCCAGGTTTGTTATGAAGATCAAATGAGGTGATATTTGTAAAGCACTTAGCACAGTGCATAGAACGTAGTAGGCACTTAAGAAATCCTTCCTCTTTTTCTCCTGCCCCACCCAGAAGCTTCTACCTATCATCATTGACTGAGGCACAGCCCTTGCATTTGGGTCCAGAGCTAGAGGTGTGGGTGACTCCTTACCCTGAAGGTGGCAGGGTTATGATCATGGTGGTGATTGGAACAGCCTTTTGGACTGTGGTGAGGGTTAGTGATATATCTGAGAGGGATGGGGATGGGGAGCAGTAGTAGAAACTGGGCAATAACCTTGTGGCCCAGAGACAAAGCTGTGAGAGGGTACAATGTGCTGCTGATGGGGTGGTATCTGGACATGAAGGACAACCTTTGGAAGTTTTAAGGGAGGCTAGGAGGCAAGAAATGGATGGTATGAAGAGCAGTGGACCATGAATAGGGATCAGAATCCAAGAGACAAGCACAAGAAAGGCCTCCCGGCCCCAGGAACTGGCATCCATGCAATGGGCAGGTGCCCTGGGCACCCAGTCCCCAAGAAAGTGGGAGGATTTCTGTAGCCTCTATTGTCCCCGGACCAGAACCTTTGAGCTGAGGAGAAACTTTTATATCAACATTGCTTCCCCCTTTTCTCTAGTTTCCATTGGCTAGTCTGAGGAATTGATGTAGTGGTGAGAGCAAAGGTTCTTAAAAACGTGTTTCACCCTCTTAAAATCCATTTTACTCTCCCCTCATGTAAAATGGGGACACTAATTCCTGCTTCCCTCACTGAGAGGATCACATGAAAGAAAAGATCTATAAGTACCAGAAAATCATGGTGTCCTACAAAAATGTCAGATACTGTGTTCCAAGATATCCTCTTATTTGTAGTAGAAACTGCTAGGTCTTGTGTGATCTGGACTGTGGCTCCTTGGTGCTTGAACTATTTTCTGAATGCTTACATACTTTTTTTAAATATGGGAGCTCTGGATTTTGGCTGACATTCCTCAGACTTTTCCTTCTGGAGTTTCTATCTTCACTTTACCCTCCAGTTCTAAGAGAGCTAGACAGTTTTCATTAAGGTTCTAGTATTTGCCAAGCACCAAATAGTATCAGAATAGATATCCTTGCTTTACTTCTGTTTTCAGTGTGACACCCTCTGTTTCTGTATTTTATATAATACCATCCCTTCATTTCAAATAAATATATTTTTTATCATTTTTAGGAAAATCCTAGTATTCTGATACATTTTAATATTTTCAACTTGAGTAGGTATAATACTTGTCAAGTCTTTTCTGAATATATTTGTTAATTATTATTAATAATTATTTATTGATTTAATTATTAGTATACTTTGCTATTCTCATTGCTTTTCAAATCTTGAGCCATCCTTTCATTCCTTGTATAAATTCTCCTTGCTTGTAATGTAAAATATTCTGATACATGGTTGTATTTGTTTTATAGAATTCTATTTAACATTTTTGCATTAATGCTCAGTTTTAATATTGTCTTTATCCTTCTTACATCCAAGCAGTCAAGACTTTGTTTGCTTCATAAAGAGTTAGAGCACTATCTTTCTCTAGTGTTGAAAGCAACATATATATGTATATGTAGCAACATATGTGTGTGTACACACACATATAAATGTTCAGTTGCGGGTGACTCTTCATGACCCCGTGGATCATATTGTCCATGGAGTTTTCTTGGCAGAGATACTGGAGTGGTTTGTGATTTCCTTCTTCAGTAGATTAAGGCAAACAGGTTAAGTGACTTGCCCAAGGTCACATACCTAGTAAGTGTCTGAGTTCATATTTGAACTTTGATCTTCCTGACTGTAGCCCCAGACTAAGCCATCTAGCTTCCCCTACACACACACACACACACACACACACACACACACACCCCATTTAATAAGTTTTTATATGTTAAGTACAATTAGTTATTTATATGTGATATATATGACAAAATTCACATGGTTTATTTAAGTTATTTTTTGTTTTATAAATGTGGTTATTTTGGATTTTTTGTATTTATTGGTTCTCAACAAAGTTCTAATCTAATGCCTCCTCATGGTGTAGAGGAGTCTTAAAGGTCACATCAGCAGAATTAGGCCATGTTAGATCTAGCATGTTTTACTACACTGGAAAGGCCTTGAGTATGGTAATGGTGATAAGCTGAGTTTTCTGTCTGAGAACCTACTAGTTAAGTGTAGAAAGACTCGTCACTAATAGATTAACCTCTAGGTGTTGAATTATTTTGCCATTGAAGCCCATGAAACAAAGAAAAATACAAAATGACCCTCAGTCTGTGGCTTCCTTCTGAATCCACCATGGTGATAGAGGAAAAAGGAGCCAAGGGCACTCAAAATCAGTTTTTAGTTTATAGACATTAACTTCAATATAGGTACTCTAAACGTGAGATCTTTGTCCGTTGAAATGATTGGAAGAAATTAATCACATCAGTGTTGATGTTCTTGTGATAAATGAAACCAGGGATTGTATGACTGGCAAGATGGCAGAGTAATCATTTTCTGCAAAGTTCTCCAACTCCAAAATCTCAACTTATGCACCAGGTATAGACTCAGCAGCTGAATCCATGAGATAAGAAGACAGAAATACCACAAAGGGCAAAGACCTAATGGAATAACATCAGACAACTTAAGTAGTCAAAGGTCCCACTAAAGGTCCCCATCCCCAAAACAGCCATATGCTGAATGGGACACTAGACAGAGTGTCTCAGGTTTGTGATCGTGTTGCCTATGTGAATTGTTTCATGATCCTCCCACAGAAGTGATTCAACCTTACCCCATAGAAGGCAGAAGACATTTATATTACTGAGCCACTCAAAGAAAGGGGACTGGAGACGGGGGTAATAGAAAGCCCAGACAGTATAGAGTCTTAGACCTGAGGGGAAAGAGCTTTTGTCCCGGAGGAAAAAAAAAAGACGAAAGCCAGCCTATTGGCAGAGTTTTTTTTCTGGTCAAGGACTGAGACCAAGGTTCAGAACCCCTAACTGTAGGACCAGCCTTCAGGATCTATACAGCACTGGAAGGAGGAAGGAGCAAAGAGGGTGGAGGAAAATCAGAGAATAAATTGGAAATACAAAGAAAAGGGTGAAAAAACGCTAATCCAAAGGAAAAGTCCTAAGTAAAAACCTAGCTCACAAGAAGATAAAATAATGGAGTTGTCCATAAAGACAAGGAAAAATGAGAAAAAGATTCAAAAGAGAGGTCAAAATATTATGAACAATTATACCATGAAAGGAACCAAAAATCCCACACACCTCCCCTCCTCCCACCCTGAGAAAGAATTAATACAGATTCTGACAGAACAATAGCAGGAAATAAAAATGACAAAACAAGAAAATAAAAATTAATTTAGGTTAGAAAACCTAAGTGTGAAATTGAAAAACAGAAGACGCTGAACATTCCAAAGGAGAAAAGGATCTGAAAGAGAATGTGATGGGTTCGGACTTCCAAAGTATAGAAGTGGAAGATACTTGGCAGAGTAATAATAATAATTAATATCTATATAGCGCCTACTATGTGTCAGGCACAGTGCTAAGTGCTTTACAATTATCTCATTTGATCCTAACAACCCTGGAAGATAGGTGCTATTATTATCTCCATTTAATAGCTGAGGCAGACAAGTGACGCTGCTAGTAAACCACTGAGGAATAGCATTCTATCTGCTGTACCACCTAGCTGCAAGAAAATCAGAAGTAAAAAATATTTTGAAAGAAATAAGCATTTAGAGGCAGCTAGGTGGTGCAGTGGATAGAGCACTGGCCCTGGAGTTCAAATCTGAGCTCAGACACCTAACACTTACAACCTATGTGACACTGGGCAAGTTACTTAACCCCAAATGCCTCACACAAAAAAAAAAAAAGAAAAAGAAAAAAAGAATTAAGCATTTATATAGTGACTACTATGTGCTAGGCACTGTATTCTACTCTTTTTAGAGATATCTCGTTTGATCCTCATGATGACACTGTGAGATCAATGCTGTTATCACCCACATTTTACAGTTGAGAGAATTGAGACAAACACATTAAGTAAGTTGCTCAAGGTAACACGGTAAGTCTCCGAGTTGAACCTGGGGGTCATAAGTATCATATTTGAATCTTGAGTTTTCCTGATTCCAGGCCCATTGCTCTCTC